GGAAATAAAACACATTTATTCCAAAACCAGTTGTTGGCATGATATATTCCTCTCGAATGATTTTTGATGGCATGGTACTAAACCCCTAACGGGAGGGATTGTGCTTGATTTTCATATGATGAAGACATAATCTTTCGATCAGTTTAATTGAGGTCTGGAGCTGGCATGTCGGTAACTGATAGTTGTCCTTTGTTAATTTATGTTCATCATTGTCATTTTACTTAGTTTCTTCTGTTACTTATACCAACATCGGACTCGGACTTCTTTTTAATTTGAGTATAACTGTGCGTATTTCTGTGTATTTGTTTATTCCACATTGGCTAGAGGTATAGGGGGAGGGATGAGATCTCACAAAACATGATTAACCCCACTGCATTTTTGCGCCTGTCCCAAGTCAGGAACCTCTAGCCTTTGTTAGTCTTGTGTGCTTTTTTTATTTTGCTTTTTTAATATGTTTCGGAGTTTAGTGTGACGTCCATTTCGCTGAACAAGTATACATTATTGTTTGGGGACCAGATGAAGCCCGCCTCCGTGCGCGGGATTGTCTCGCTTTTTGAAGACTCATGTGTGGCCTTGGGCTGATTTGTACTCTTTTGTCGGGTTGTTGTCTCTTTGACACATTCCCCGTTTCCATTCACAATTCTATTACTTTCCTTTATTTGTTTGACAAAAACCGTATGTCGGTGTAATACAAAGAGACCGAGAGTCTTTTGATATGAATTTCTTGATATATAAGTAGTTAACTGAGGTTTAGGTCAAAGGTCAAGGTCATGTAATAAAATTCTAATTTTGTTTTACGTCTGGATGAAACGTCAATACATTTGGGTTGGCGTTTTCTGGTGACTGTTTTAGAAGGAATGTTGTTCCCTTAAATATTTGAAATGGGCAGTTTTGCATTATAACCTTGCTTAAAAGAGACATATGGTCTTTCGATTTGAGATTCATTACCTCTGACCTTCATTCTAGGTCAAGGTCGATTTGACGTTTTACAAATTGACCTTTTTTATAACTTCATTCTGGTATACTATAAAGCCATAGGGTATTTTGCATTGGGTTGGAAGACATATGGTAATTTGGTTTATGCTAGATATTTGTCTCATTGGCAATCATACCAAATCTCCTTATTTTATTTAAGACATTGAATAAGGTCAACTGGGAGTGACCTTATGTATACCGAACGTAAGATATTTTAATTACTGTATGTAAAAAAAGCTAGAAACATATATCTTTTTAAAGCAGAATGACGTTGCCTATCATATCAAAAAGGTAAGTGGCATTTTGACACTCAGAAATTATTTCCCTTCATTATTTCAAACAAAAGTTCATAGATATCTTCTTCTTGGAATCATTGTAGAAATTCATATCAACTGAAAGCAAACGTGACTTTTTAGACCGTAAATTTGCATGTTATGTTCATTATTTCAAGAAAAAAGAACCTAAATATTTGTATTTTTGGAAACAGTCTGAAATGAACTATCTTCTATTAATGGAACTGACTTTAAAACCGGAAGTTACTATTCAACTTTCATGTAAAGTAGCAAACAATTAATTTCTATGGACATTTTTAATCCATATAAAAAATGAAAACAACACGTTATAAATTCATGCGTCAAAAAGCGCTTTTCTGGATTTACCTTCATCAGGAACGCTTAAAGCCGAATATTTAAGAGTTAATTAAGGATGTGTAAGAACCTAAACAGTTGAAGAGCTATATGCCCCAAAAAGTACCTAAAAATAGCCAAATCCGTCTTAGGGTCAATTTTGCCTGAGGGAGTTGAAACCTTAGATTCTTTTTAATTTAAAAATTTATAAACGGAAAATTTTAGAAATGTTTTGTTATAAATCATGTCAATACCGAAGTACTGACTACTGAGCTGATGCCACCCTCGGGGACTGATAGTCCACCAGCAGAGGTATCGACCCAGTGCTGTAAAAAATGAAAACAACACGTTATAAATTTCATGCTTCAGAAGCGCTTTTCTGGATTTTCCTTCATCAGGAACGCTCAAAGCCGAATATTTGAGAGCCAAGTATCTTTTAGAACCTAAACAGTTGAAGAGCTATATGACTATTTGAGTTAATTATGATATCATAGGCATCCTTTAGAATACGGACCAGGAACTCATCTAACACATTTGATTTGATCAATTAAAAAAAAACTGTTAATAACTGTTGTTTTAGATGATCAGATTATCAAACATGTATCAATCTGCTTCAATTTTAGCTGTTAGGTAAAAGTATTTGAAAGCCTTGAAATTATATTATTTTCACCTAGTAAAGAGATGCGATTCATCAGGAATGAGTTCATAAATGGCCAAAAAAATGTGCCTAATACACATCTTTGGTCTAAACTACATGTATTTTGATATAGTTTATTTGTATCTCGCTTTGATCCTCTCACGACAACATAGTTATATGGTTCAACGGTTCAACTAACAGCAAAGGTAATATACTAGCAGTCTACAACTATTACCATATTGATGTATGGTAAAAAGTATTGACTATAAGATATACTGAAAATACAATTTTTTAATCCATAACTGCATTTATATATTATCTTTTATTGCGATATCACATGCATCCTCTAGAAAACGGACCAGGAAATCATCTTACCCATGGGGTTTGATATCAATTAAAAAAACTGTTTAAAATAAAATATTATAATGAAGACGACTCGAACTGTAAGGAATCTGTTTGAATCTGTGATCAGATCAAACCGATTCGAACTGTAAGGAATCTGTTTGAATTTGTGATCAGATCAAACTTAGGCAATGAGGAACCAACCATGACACTAATAACATTTCAACACAAACTATAAAACCGAAATCTAATGATAGACTGGTACACTCTTCATAATAATTTGAATATACAAATAAGAAACAATGAAAATGTAAAATGTGCATTATTTATTGGTCAATATTTATATTTATCTATCTAGGCTTTGCGGATCATCATGACTGTTTCTTTCAGTGAGTAGTGATATCCCTTCCAGTGGTACCAGTTGACGCCATTAGCATATGATTTGTGTTTCCCTTTCAGATAGAGACCATTCAGGTTGCTAAAGTGACATGTATTATACCACCAGCCACCCTTGTACGCCACTGCACATGACTTGCCCCATTTATCGTTATCCTTATCTTTTGCCGAGAATTTCTGTCCATTCTGAACAGCCAACGAATCTCCTGTAAATGTACGTAGTATGTTACTATAGAAATTCAATTACTCAAGTCATATCCAAAATGCGTAACAACGATGGTAATGTTAATTATGTAACTATGTTTTCGGATGTAAAAATAATTTGTTTCAAACTAATCATTACGTTTTCCGTTGAAGAGACGTTGAATATCAATTTTATTTTGTCCTTTCTTTGTTTAGTAATTTAAAGTTATTAAAATATCCAAAGGGTTTTGAGGTGAAAGTTGCTGGATACGTACGTACGGTACGGAAAAATAAATCGTACTGTGAGAAGAAGTAAAAACATCAATATAATTCACTTTTATTTCAATTTGGTTTTGTTTACTTGAGCATTGGATACCCCTTCTAATTGTCAAAATTTCAATTTACAGAAAATTTACCTTTTAAAGATTCGTTTTTTTTACATTGGCTGTGACACAATTTTTTTCTTGAAAACAGAAGTTGTGAAATTTTATTCATATATATTTTTTTTTATTGAAATAGCAAATTATTTATTAAATAGATACCATATGAGCAAATTTCCAAAATTGAATACTTTGATACAAATGAGTGTGTGGTGTTTACTGATTTAAAGTTTTGAGAGTTAACGATAGTAACGGTTTGAAAGCAACCTTATTTTATGTTTCGGTTATGATACCTAGATAAAACATAGAAACGAACAAGATATTTGATAGGTAAATTTGAGGTCAGGTCAAATGTAAAGGGGTGTTCGAAGGGAAAAATCTAATGAGCTATGAGGAATGTAAGGTAACTTCCCATCTACAATAATGGTTTGACCATTAGAGTCGTATATGAGCTAAGGAGCATTCTAGTTCAGTGTCACAAGTCGCAGGTCTACGAAGGCAATGACCACGATACGTACGGTACGTGATTATGACGAGGGGGATTTTAACGACCTTGACTACCCATGAGATTCTTGCACGGTCGGTCACGTGATTATGAGAGATTGTAGTCTCTAATATGACATTTCATCGAAGGACAAGGTTGAAGCCAAATCTTTAAGACTTAGACAAATGTTGTAGCTTATCAAGTATACATTGTACCTTATAATACAAGACATAGCTTGTAGGGTATCAAATTCTACAATAAGGACAAGTTTGTCCCTTACGCAGATAGTAATTGAAAAAAATTGTATCAGTGTATATATATTGATAGGGAAATGATTTTTATAAATAAATTTAACTGTCAAAGAAAGAGCAGTTGTACATATTTTTAGTTATTGATACCATTTTATGAATACAATTAACGTTTTGAGTAATATGAAAATAGAATATTTCGGATCGAGCATAAAACTGGTGTACACGTTACAAGTGTTTTGCAGGATATTTTTACGAATCCATATATGAACATAAATTGAAAACCAAATAATACATGAAAGGATAACATGGAGTTATAATACGTGAATGTGGTTAAAATGTTTATGGGTCCTCAATCCTCTTTTAGTCTTCAAAAAGCCTTTGTATCATCTTCCCTTTTTTACCTGCATGTTTTGGGAAATCATTTAAAACACCAGTAACATTAAAACTTGAAAATTTGAACATTAATTCTATTATTGCCTTAGATCTTCAAAACCCATATCATTTAGTCAGATTTTAAGAACGTTGGGAAAGTGTTAAATGGCTTTCTTTCATGTTGTATAGATAAATAGTCGACTTGAAATCTGCAAAAATATGTTAAAATATTACGTCATCAGATATTTTCTCCTCTCATCAAACGGAAAGTCAAAAAAAAAAAAAATGAATAAAAGTATGGGTTGAAGATAAGATAAAAAAACCATAAAGGCTCTAAAGACAAAAGAAGCTTACCTGCATCGCCAGAATAACCACCAACATCCAAAATATATCCAGAACTTTCGCTACCAACGCTGAACTTCTTATACAGGGCATACTTTTGGTTGTTTTCGAAGTCTTCCATATCAATCCTCAATTTGTATTTTCCTTGAGAGGTAAGTTGATGCAGATGGTCGTTACCTTACGTAAATTCAAGTTGAAATGTACAATTAATGACATATCTTAATATTGTTTGTTATTTTCTAGAATTGGGTGATATTGGCAGATCTTGATTGCATCTGGTAAATTTAACACCTGCGTGATGTTGAAGACTGTACGTTACTGTCTAGAAGTCTTTTTTTGTCGATGGTTGCTGTCTCATTGACGCATATACTCATCTGCTTTAATTCATATCAATTAAATGATTTGGAAAAATGTCTGTTCATGGTATAATCAATCAATCATGCAGTCATTCTACAATAAGTTATTTAGACTAAGACAAACTCATCTTGAAAAAATCAAAGAATGAAAGGATATTTCAGATATTTGTCATTGTTACAGCAATACAGATACACAAAAAATTTGTAAGCTCTAAATTAGACAAAGTCTGAAAATTTTAGATAGATTTTAGCAGAAACTATCAAAGATCTGACAGCCAAACGGAATTCCTTGAAAGCCGGAAACAAAGTTATTAAAGCCACTGAAAAGTTTCCCTGACTCAAGACGGGCACATACACCTTTCATACTTTTTATTAGTGACATTAAAAAGCTACATTAAAAGCGTACGATAAAATCATTACAGAAGAGCACTTAATATAAAAATAAGGAGATGTGGTATGATTGCCAATAAGAAAAGTATCCACCAAAGATCAAATGAAGTTGATGTAAGCAATCATAGGCAACCATACGGCCTTCAACAATGAGAAAAACCCATACTGTATAGTCGGCTATAAAAGGCCCCGACCTGAAAAATATGAAACAATTCAATTGAGAAAAACTAAAAGCCTGATTTATAACAAAACAATTTACAAAAATCAAATATGACAGACATGAACCAACGACAACCACTGAACTACAGGGTCCAGACTCCCCCTAACCTGGGACAGTGGTGTAACAGCACAACATAAGAACAAACTATAAAAATCAGTTGAAAAAGGTTTAACTCATCAGATCGATACAAAGCAGAAAAACATCAAACAAAACCACAGATCGGACGTACTCTATAATAGCGGCAAAATAAATTAGAAAAAGCAGTTATTGCTAATATAAAATCACTAGGTTCTACACTGAATCTCTTATTTTATTTGCCCTACCTCGGAATGGACAATCATAATGCAATTTCATAATCAATGCAGAAAGACGTGATTTTTGACATGTAGAATTCATTTTGTTTAGGAATACAATGTACAAAAGCGAACATTTTAGTTTTTTACAAAGTTTAAATAAGAAAACTGATGTTGATAAAAACGATAGATAGAATATGCAATGACTATACAACAGTACAATAAATTAATCCTTTAGAGATCAGTCTATCAACATACAAAGACGAATCTTAAGAACTTTTATTTTATTTTTTAGCTCTCAGTAAATGACAGTATAGTAGTTGAACTTATAAATTTTCTATATATATATATGTGAAAGTATTTATTACCTAACCAAAATTCTTCACATTGGTTACCAAATCCTTGTTTATAAGTGGCCCAGTCTCTATAGAAATTAGTCTTTCCATTCATTCTACGTTGAAAAACCTGAAAATAACAACAAATAACAAGTATAGACATATGAACATATAACTCATTCGAAATTTAAAAACGCAAGCGAAAATGTTTTTGTTTTCAATAACTGAAATACAAAAAGGTTTTCATGAGTAATTGAAAAAAAAAACTATTAATAATAATAATAATAATAATAATAATAATAATAATAATAATAATGATAATAATAATAATAATAACGATGATAATATTAATAATTGAAAATAAGAATAAAAAAGTTTCTTTCTCAGAGATAAACAATATAAATTATTTTTGCTAGATGTAAAATTCCTCCCTAGGAATAAATTGACTCGTAGTTTGTTTATATACAGTATTTTGGATTAACCGTTCAATTTTTCTAAACGCTTAATTCATTTGCTAAAACACTAAAAGAGAGGCAAAAGATACCAAAGGGACATTCCAGCTTTAAAAAAAGTCCAAAACAAACTGACAATGCCATGGCCAAAAACGAAAAATCGACGAAAAGACTAACAACAATACATAAAACACAACATGGAAAACTAAAGACTGAGCAACATGAACCCTACCAAAAACCGGTGGTGATCTTAAGTGCTGCGGAAGGATAATCAGATCCTGCTCCACATGTGTTACCCGTCGTGTTGATTATGTAAGGAGAAACCCGTTGATCAGTCTAATTCGGAAGGTCACACTCGAGGAAAAGAGGACGGGGTTGTGGTTTCAACAGTTGGTTATCATTAACTTATCTGATTATTTTTTGTGTTCATCTATCATTCCATTTAAACTCACAGTCCATCCCCCACCATGTTTCTTCATTTCACAGAAAACCTTGAAACCAGAAGTTTTATCAGGGAAGATCTTGTAGATTCCACTTTTACAATTTGATTTGTCCAGCTCACCACAGTCACTTGGTCTCTTTACTAAAAAATATAAATACGTTTCAAAACACGTGACTTTTTGTTCTAGATTACTTGGTTTATAGTGAAATAAATAATTTGAATTGGTGTCAGAGGCTCTTATTTGACGTCTTGTAATTGAATATCACTAAACAAACAGCCAATAAGGTTATTACCAAATGTCATAACAATCTTAATGTGAACCGTTATGTACTTACTTTTTAAGGAATTGGTATTGATGTTTATGTATATATATGCATGAGTTCGAATCCCGGCGAGGGATGAACAAAAAACTTGCTTCCGCAAATTTGCAGATTTAACATTGTTGTGCTGATATTATATATATATAATATATATATGTATAAAACATTGGTATTAATTCGAGAGAAACGAATACAGTCATGTGTACTACCACATTAGATCAGTTATTTTGCAATAAATTATATAAATGGCTTTCATACCTTTGCACGAGGATTGGGGTTCATCATCATCATCATCTTCATCTACTATTTCGTTGTTTGTTCTGCATGCACAATTGTCAGAGAGTAACCCAACGACTTTATTAGCTGTTTCACCATAAAATGTAACAGCTACAACAGAAATAAATTTCACGAAATAATTTATTATACATTTGATAGTTTGTCACATAATGGTATCATTGGTATTGATAATTTTTTTATCTAAATTATATGTCTTATATATTAACCAGAGCATATCAAATAATTCGTTACTTTAAAAACAACCAATAAAGTTTCACCTAGGAAATAGCCGGGGAAAGTAGATTAGGACTGAAACTGACGAGACAAAATTCTAAATCTTAAGGGAAGTCAAAATAAAATTTCAGCCAAGCCTTCATTTAAACTTTATAGACCAAAAATAGGAGAAATTTCATATTGATCACCAGTTAACAAATTAAGGCAATAAATGCTTCAAGAGTTATTGTCTTAAAATAATCTTAGGTTCCCTTTTTAACTTATGTTTAAGAATTTATTTAAAACATTATAATTTAAAGAATATTATACCAGATGCGCAGTCCTTTCCTGGCGATGATTCTGCAAACGTGTTTCCAGTAAAGAATATCAGCGATATAGTCGTATAGAGAATCATCTTCATGTCTAAAATGTGCATTCCTGAAGTTTGATAACCTTGTAAAAAATATCGTTTATATACATGGACTGTAAATTGATTTTTACAAGGTGTTACATTTTTGTCAAGTTAAATAAATTTCCTAATATTCTGTTAGCATGACAAAAATTAACAAATATACTGTCATTTTAGAATAGAAGCTGAACAATGCTATTAAATTTTCTTTGAATACACAGTATTACAGATTTGATTATCAGAGTACATTTCAAGTTGCAGATAATTTAAAAAGAATAACAAGGAATTGTTATTGCAAATATTTCATGAATAAAGTAACATAACACCCATCTTAGTTTGCTAAGACAGCATCAATTTGACTACGTTTTCATTTTCGGCAGCAAATGACGATATGTCTGTGTTTAAGCGTCCAAGTTAGATTGAAAGTAAAAATTTAAAATAAAGAGTATGACGGATGCTATATGGAACATAGCATACGCCTTATAAATTTCAGCATGTATCATTGTACCGATATGTAGAAATGATCTGTAACAGTTAACATTAAAATGGCAAAACGTCTGTTTAACTGCGTCGCCGAAGGCGGAAGCAAGTTTAGTAACCGTTCGACTCCGTCCGTCTGTCCGTTCGTTCTTCCTGTCGTCTGCCTGTCCGTTCGTTCGTCCGTCCGTCTGTCTGTCTGTCTGTCCGTCCGATAAAAATCTTTCGTCAGTCTACTTGGCTTCTATGAAAGGGAATTTAATATTTTATATGTAGCTTGATAATAATGAGTTTTAGCGAGTAAGCAAATTTTACATCTGCGATGTATTCACGTCTGTTTGTTGATAGTTTGAAATTTTACAACATTCATTGTAGAATGAAAATTTTAGTAAAAGGTTTTGCAGCTCCTATTGAAGGGAATGATTTGATTATTAGTCTGCAGCTTCATAATGACATTGTATAGTTGTAGCGAGTAAGCAATTTTTGCGTTTGACTTGTAACCACTTCCTGTTTGCATCAAGACTTATTGTACAAGGAAAATTTTCGTGAAAGTTTTCTTGGCTTCAGTGAAAAAATGATCAGTTATGCTCCAGTATACAATATACATGTTACATTAATCAATTACATGCAGCGATGCAGGTCCAGATCCGGTATTGGTCTTGTTAATCTTGATATCATGTGATTTCTGTTCTTAATATCTAACCGTTTTGAAACGTTTGTTTCTACTAACTGAAATCTTATTTTTCGACAAAATTCTTTCTGTTTGGCATTTGTTTTTCACCAAGGTATACTAATTCATGTCCATATTTTCAGCATATTTTTACCTTCTACACATCCAATTCTGCTCGGTTTTTTTTCTGTCACAATAGGACTGTCTGTTCTTAGAAGCCTCTAGCTTGTTTGTTTGTGACCTGGATTTTTCCTCTTCACTGAGTATTGAAATTTGAACATCGATAAACTACTACCGCCTTAATTCATTCAGCAAGTACATTCTTTCTTTCTGGTTTAATGTTTGTATTGTAGATTGTATAAATGTAGGCATAGGTATAGATAAAGGCAACAGTAGCATACCGCTGTTCAAAAGTCAAGTCATAAATCGATTTTAAGAAAACAAATCCGGGTTACAAACTAAAACCGAGAGAAACACATTAACTGTAAGAGGAAAACAACGGTACAACAGAATCACTAAATTGCAAAAAAAAAACGCCAACATATATAGAAACGGACTATTTGATAACAACTGCCATATTCCTGACTTGGTACAGGATAGGAGCATGAAAATAGGACCCGCAAAGTGACATATTATGATTACAAAGTCTTGATTTAACTTAAAGTTAGTACTAACGCACAAGAACAAGACGCGTTTGTGTGCTGAAGACAAATTCCTGTGGTTAAACAGCAATCAGATTGTTGATGTATTTCCGAAAGTGAATAAGTTCAGCCACTATGTCTGTTTTTTTTTTTAGATGAATATAATTTTAATTTACTGAATTATGATTTGAAGCAAGACTAAAATATTTTCTGTAATTTATTCTGGACATAACACGAAATTGTGTCTGTTTGTACTTGTTATGTCGCTGTAACAAACGATATTAGAATGTAGGACGGCGTTCATTTGAATCAGCAAGTTGCGTGTTTTAATTTTAATTAATATTTGTCTGCTTGTATTCTCTGTCTCAATCTAATTAAAATATTATCTGTGAATAAGCTATTCTTATATTTTCGACAAGTAAGTGAGTCACGATAGATATACAGTTTAATCAGATTGGATATTTTATGTATTTAACTGTATTTTTAAGTAGTCCTGTTCCTGTACAGATTTCTATTAAATGTTCCTTCATGGTTAGTCCAATGATTTGAATAAAAAGGGGGATGAAATCACTGTGTTCGTTCAAAGGTAGAAACTTCAACCGTGGGCGTCTTAAATTCTATCTTCAATGTTTATTTGTTATTTGAAGAATTTGGTGTTGATGGCAGACCTGTTTACTACTGATTAATTTACAACTTTTAGACTCTGTGTTTACGTTTTAGGGAAATATTGTATAGAAATAGTTCACTGTTCTTTATCCACATGGCGTATTTGAGTCTTTAGGTTGCTGTTTTATATACATTTAACAACAACTATCATTTCTGTTTTAAAAAGAGTGAGGGTTCTTGAAAAAAAATTCTTCGGTGGCATTTATGAAAATCTAATATTAAATCACAATTCAAATTGTTTCACCTGCACAATTTTGATTCCAAAGCATAACAATTGTTTAAATATCTCTGGATAAATTTCAAGTTGTATGGACCAGTTGCAAGAAAATTGGTAAACATAAGAAAAATAGTCTGAGTGTATACACATAGACTACATTCTTTACTTTTTATATTTACCATTACTGTTACAATGATATTAATCTGCAAGGATATTTACATTCTCATTTATAGTTTATTATATTGCTCATCATTCTTTACATATATACGACTGGTTACTCACTTCAAGGTATTCTACATATATGTTATTTTTGAGATCTTGACTTTATTTTTAGTATCGTTAGAAGTAGTGATACGCTTGTAATCCTCGATGTTGCATAGGACCAAGGTATCAGGGGAACTAGCTGTCTGATGACGTATACTTTTCTATTTTACATTTCTCTCTTACATTGTTGGGTTGTTGACGACGATGTTTGCCAAGATTTTATATCACATCTTATGTGTCCCAAGAATAACTGAGTCTATTGTAAAGTTACATTTTTAATTCCATTTCAATATAGTAAAATATCTTTATAATCTATTAATACGTGTGTACAGTTTCAGCTCAGATTATCAACTGACCTAGCATAAATATTTCTTTCTGAATTCCCACGATCGCAACTTTAAACCTTTCAACTTTAACATGTGTTTTTAATCATTTCTCACTCCTATTTAGATCTTACCAACTTTACTCTAAAGTGCACTCGCCACAGTTGATACAAGGAATTTGGTTTAAAGTTTGTTCACAAAAACATATTTAGTAAGTCCATCACATCTATTCTTATCCAAGTTCAAAGACAGTCAACATTGAATAATCACTGATTCCTCAATATTGTTTGATGCATAACATCATATTTTGTTATGAAACAATTTTATCAAGTTTCGTTCCATTTCAATGTAATAGCAATAAAAGCGCTGTTCCTTTGCTTATTGTGTGCTTTTTTTTTGTTGTGCATGTACTGATGTTGTGTCATGGATGTATACCCCATATTCTTTGTTTTTCTATTTTATTAGATTTTGCATTAATAATTACAAATGGTCATATTTTGATATTATTTGATCAATAATTAGAACAAATACAAATGTCATGTGAAATGAAGTTAATTGTGTCATGTCTCATTGTATTCAAATGTAACTCGTAGCATATTTTGTGTTGACAAACTTTAAAAAAAGAGAAATGTTCAAAGCCAATCATTGCTAATGGCATTCTCAAGTAGAATCTCTAAGGAGCGTGAATTTCTCATTTGGCTAAAACATGTCATATTTTTATTTGTGTAAAGAATAATAACCTCATCACCTCCTTTAAACCGAAAGCAGTCATTTAAATATCAACGAAAAATGAAATAATATGTAAATATTCATCAATTCAAAAGACTTTTTAAAGAAAGGTTAACGAGATGAATACATTTGTCTTAAAATGTTGATACCAACAACAAATATGCTAGTCTACAAACGCTTTACATCCGATGGTCACAATAAGAACTACATTACTATAACCGACATAATAACCATCCTTTGGTTTGGTCAGGATAAAACTACACCTAGAAAAATAGAAACTATCAGCAGGGAAATTAAAACTCGTACTGATGTTCAAAAAACACAAAAACCTTCACTAGTGTTTCAGATATCATAGGGAAATTCGGGGTCAGAATCTAATGTGCTTGAATGCAAACATTATGTCGCTTCCGTACTTTTACAAGGTAACATAATGCAGAGATTGACCTAAAATCTATTTTTTTTGGAAAAAACACTAACAACTAACAAAGTTTTTTTTAATTTCAACATATTTTTTTCTTCATCTTAGTGTTTGATTTTTCGAAAAATGGCTTGATTATAAGTTTGACGAGGACGGCTCACCACAGTAGTCCACCTATCTGCCATTTTATGCATGTAATTTACATTTTATTATGCCCCAGCTTTTTGTTTTGACTTGTATTTGTATGTTTATACTTGTTGTGATTGCATTGAATTACCCAATAGATAGCACTCAATCGTGCTTTATCCAACTGTTTTGATCTAGATACCTGCATATTATTGGAACATACCTAATTCAGGTAAAAGCTATAAAACTTCGACAACTTGGACTTGAGTTTGACCTACTTTTACCTTTAACAACTAGTACTTTACCAAATTGGTCATTATTCCCAAGATATGCTAAATTACGAATCTCACTACGGAAAATTTAACCACATATGTGAAAATGTCTCAATTTCGAACCGAGCAATCAAACGTATCTAAGTTTACGATATGGGCTGAGGAATCGAAGAAAATGCTAACATTACCGCCTACCTGAAATGAATTGCAAATGTTTAGATATTAAAAGTATATGTGCATACATAAATAATTATTCTTGTATCATGTACGGGAGCAACCATTTGATTTTTATTGGAGGCTAAGAGGGAAACTCTCATCCTGCATTTTCCTACTGCATATGGGTGAGACTAATTTTGTTTTTAGTTTTAACTGGTCTTAGATTTATTTTTACATATGGTCAAATCGAAGATTGTCAAGCTTAATTTCGCTAAGTTGATCAGACTGTATCCCATTATTGTCTGGCTTTAATGTAGCATATCCACTCTAACTGCATTATTCTGCTTCTTTACATTTAACTAAGCTGTTAATTAAGTGAACCTGATGTTCAGTGGTTGTCGTTTGTTGAAGTGGTTCATAAGTGTTTCTCGTTTCTCGTTTTTTATATAGAGTAGACCGTTGGTTTTCCTGTTTGAATGGTTTTACACTAGTCATTTTTGGGGCCCTTTATAGCTTGCTGTTCGTTGTGAGCCAAGACTCCGTGTTGAAGGCCGTACTTTGACCTATAATGGTTTACTTGTACAAATTGTGACTTGGATGGAGAGTTGTCTCATTGGCACTCATACCATATCTTCTTATATCTATTCACTCAAACTTCACTTTTCCATTCTGCATTCTATTCACTGAAATCATTGACATTATTTTTTACTCTAGTTAATCGATGCAGTTCATTATGGAGGAGCTTATAAATGGCAAATAGAATTCAGTCAAATGTGTCAAAAAATCTATCCTCGCATGGCACCAAGGTACTAGTAGTATGATTTAAATTTTCATCTAACAGTTTAGGTAATCGAGTCCACTAATAAGTGTTACACTCTAAAATATTCGTAAAATACAAGTTTTTAATAATTGTATCACTATCTACCGTTGATGATCGTTGATCACCGTTGACTGCAATTTTGTAAGCATTCTAACTACTTAAGAAAACAAAATCCAGTGTAAATGGCCCGTCCTACATTCTAATATCGTTTGCTACAGCGAAATAAAAGTACAAACAGACATAATTTCGTGTTATGTCCAGAATAAACAATCTGATTGCTGTTAAACCATAGGAATTTGTCTTCAGCACACAAAATCGTCTTGTTCTTGTGCGTTAGTATAACTTCCGTTTTTGTTCTGTAGTTAGTCCCCACTTCGGTTTTATCATGTATATCTATTATATAGTCATTTTATAAAATTTACTGTTTGCAAAATTATAAATTATTCTAAATAATAAGGATGTTCTTGTCCCAGGCAGAAAACCCTGGCCGTGTTAGGCGCAACTTTTTGGAAGTTTTGGTCCTCGGTGCTCTTCAGCTTTGTACTTGTTTTGGCTTTCAAACTTTTTTCATCTGAGTGTCACTGGTTGGTCTTGTGTGGACGAGACGCACGTCTGGCGTATTGAATTTTAAGCCTAGTACCTTTTGTTAGCTATTATTCGTGTGTTTCTTTGTCCTATATGTTCTCCCATTTATTTGTATTGTGGTCCTGTCATGTGATGTTGTCGTTATGGTGTTGTGTTTGACGTTGCCATAAAAGCGGGAGGTTTGGCATGCCACAAAACCAGGTTCAACCCACCATTTTTTTCTTAAAATGTCCTGTACCAAGTCAGGAAAATGGCCATTGTTATATTATAGTTCGTTTCTGTGTGTGTTACATTTTAATGTTGTGTTTTTGTTGTGTCGTTGTTCTCCTCTTATATTTGATGCGTTTCCCTCAGTTTTATTTTGTAACCCGGATTTGTTTTTATCTCTATCGATTTATGAGTTTCGAACAGCGGTATACTACTGTTGCCTTTATTTAAGTTAAATCAAGACTTTGTAGTCAAAACATGTCACGTTGCGGTCCTATTTGCATGCTCCTATTTATACCTATGCCTTCCATTATACAATCTACAATACAAACATTAAACCAGAAAAAGAATGTACTTGCTGAATAAATTAAGGCAGCAGTAGTTTATCGATGTTCAAATTTCATAACTCAGTGAAGAAGAAAAATCCAGGTCACAAACAATCAAGAGGCTCCTAAGAACAGACATTCCTATTGTGACAGTTAAACAAAACAAGCAGAATTTGATGTGTAGAAGGTAAAAATATGCTGAAAAATATGGACATGAATAAGTATACCTTGGTGAAAAATAAATGAAAAATAGAAAGAATTTAATTGAAATATTAGATTTAAGTTAGTAGAAACGAACGTTTTAAAACGGACTCGGACCTGCGTCGCTGCATGTAATTGATTTGGGGTAACATGTATACTGGAGCATAACGGATCTTTTCTTTCACTGAAGCCAGGAAAACTTTCACGAAAATTTTCCTTGTACAATGAGTCTTGAGTCAAACAGGAAGTGGCTACACGGCAAATGCAAAAATTGCTTACTCGCTACAACTACTAGTATACAATGTCATTATCAAGTTGCAGACTAATAATTAAATCATTTCCTTCAATAGGAGCTGAAAAACCTTTTACTTAACTTTTCCTTGTGCAATGAATGTTGTTAAACATGTAAAATTTCAAATTATCTGCAAACAAGAAGTGAATACATAGCAGATGTAAAATTTTACTACTTGCTACAACTTATTATAATCAAGCTGAAGTTCAAATATTAAATCATTCCCTTTCATAGAAGCCAAGAAGACTGACGAAAGATTTTTATCGGACGTACAGACGGACGGACGGACGAACGAACGGAGTCGAGCGGTTACTAAACTTGCTTCCGCCTTCGGCGACGCAGATAAAAAGATGTTTTGCCATTTTCGGCGACGTTTAATATTAACTGTAACAGATCATTTCTACATACCGGTACAATAATACATACTGAAATTTAAAAGACGTATACTATGTTCCATAGCATCCGTCATGCTCTTTTTTCAAAATTTTGCTGCTTTTTTTGTGTTTTTTTCAATTCCAACCTAACTTTGGACGCTTTAACACAGACATATCGTCATTTGCTGCCGAAAATGTAAAACGGGGTAAAATTGATGATATCTTTGCAAACTAAGATGGGTGTCATGTTACTCAATTCATGAAATATTTGCAATAACAATTCCTTGTTATATTTTTTTAAATTATCTGCAACTTAAAATGTACTCTAATAATCAAATCTGTAATAATGTGTTTCAAAGAAAATTTACTAACATTGTTCAGCTTCTATTCTAAAATGACAGTATATCTATTAATTTTTGTCATGGTTACAGAATATTAGGAAATTTATTTAACTTGCCAAAAATGTAACACCTTGTAAAAATCAATTTACAGTCCATGTATATAAACGATATTTTTTACAAGGTTATCAAACTTCAGGAATGCACATTTTAGACATCAAGATGATTCTCTATACGACCATATCGCTGATTATCTTTACTGGAAACACTTTTGCAGAAACAACGCCAGGAAAGGACTGCGCATCTGGTATAATATTCTTTAAATTATAATGCTTTAAATTAATTCTGAAATTTTATTTCGACTTCCCTAAAGTTTTAGAATTTTGTCTCGTCAGTTTCAGTCCTAATCTCCTTTCCCCGGTTATTTTCTCAGTGATAGTTCATCGATTGTTATAAAGAAACAAACTATTTGATATGCTCTGGTTAATATATAAGACATATAAATTAGAAAAAAAGTTATAAATACCAATGATACCATTATGTGACAAACTATCAAATGTATAATAAATTATTTCGTGAAATTTATTTCTGTTGTAGCTGTTACATTTTATGGTGAAACAGCTAATAAAGTCGTTGGGTTACTCTCTGACAACTGTGCATTCAAAACAGCCAAAGAAAAACCAAATAAAATAGAAGATAAAAATGATGATGAATCCCAATCCTCATCCACAGGTATGAAAGCCATTTAAATAATTTATTGCAAAATAACTGATCTAATGTGGTAGCAAACATGACTGTTTTCGTTCATCTCTCAAGTGTTTATGTCTAATTGATACCAACATTTTATACATAAATATATATATATAATATACATAAACATTAATACCAATTCCTTAAAAAAAGTAATCTAGGCTCAAAGTCACGTGTTTTGTTCTCATGTGGTAGCAATAATTGAAAAAAAAAACATCTTTGCTTGCTTTTTTAAATTTCGGATGAGTTATATGTTTATATGTCTATATTTGTTATTTGTTGTTATTTTCAGGTTTTTCAACGTAGAATGAATGGAAAGACTAATTTCTATAGAGACTGGGTCACTTATATACAAGGATTTGGTAACCAGAAGGAAGAATTTTGGTTAGGTAAAAATACTTTCACATATATAAAGAAAGTTTATAAGTTTATCTACTATACAATTATTTACTCAGAGCTAACAACTATAATAAACGGTCTTAAGATTCGTCTTTGTAGGTTGATAGACTGATTTCTAAAGGATCAATTTATTGTACTGTTGTATAGTCATATCAAATTCTATTTATAATTTTTATCAACATCAGTTTTCTTATTTAAACTTTGTAAAAACTAAAATGTTCACTTTTGTACATTGTATTCCTAAACAAAATGAATTCTACATGTCAAAAATCACGTCTTTCTGCATTGATTATGAAATTGCATTGTGATCGTCCTCTCCGAGGTAGGGCAATTAAAATAAGAGATTCAGTGTAGAACCTAGTGATTTTATATCAGCAATAACTGCTTCCATCCTCTTTCCAGTTATGTGAACATTCTTTAATACGGTATTGTTTGAACTTGTGCTTTTTCTAATTTATTTTGCCGGTATTATAGAGTACGTCCGATCTGTGGTTTTGTTTGATGTTTTTCTGCTTTGTATCGATCTAATGAGTTAAGCCTTTTCAACTGATTTTTATAGTTTGTTCTTATGTTGTGCTGTTACACCACTGTCCAAGGTTAGGGGAGGGTTGAGCGCTCACAAACATGTTTAACCCCGCAAAATTCTTTATGTGCCTGTCCCAAGTCTGGAGCCTGTAGTTCGGTGGTTGTCGTTGGTTCATGTCTGTCATATTTGTTTTTCGTAAATTGTTTTGTTATAAATCAGGCTTTTAGTTTTTCTCAATTGAACTGTTTCATATTTTTTAGGTCGGGGACTTTTATAGCCAACTATACAATTTGGGTTTTTCTCATTATTGAAGGCCGTATGGTTGCCTATGATTGCTTACATCAACTTCATTTGAACTTTGGTGTATAGTTTTCTCATTGGCAATCATACCACATCTCCTTATTTTTTATATTAAGTGCTCTTCTGTAATGATTTTATCGTACGCTTTTAATGTAGCTTTTTATGTCACTAATAAAAAGTATGAAAGGTGTATGTGCCCGTCTTGAGTCGGGGAAACTTTTCAGTGGCTGTAATAACTTTATGTTTCCGTCTTTCAAGGAATTCGGTTTGGCTGTCAGATCTTTGATAGTTTCTGCTAAAATCTATCTAAAATTTTCAGACTTTGTCCGATTGAGAGCTTAGCATATTTTATGTATCTGTATTGCTGTAACAATGACAAATATCTGAAATCTCCTTTCAACACGCGTTGTTAAATTTACCAGATGCAATCAAGATCTGCCAATATCACCCAATTCTAGAAAATAACAAACAATATTAAGATCTGTCATTTAAAGTACATTTTAACTTGAATTTACGTAAGGTAACGACCATCTTCATCAACTTACCTCGCAAGGAAAATACAAATTGAGGATTGATATGGAAGACTTCGAAAACAGCCAAAAGTATGCCCTGTATAAGAAGTTCAGCGTTGGAAGCGAAAGTTCTGGATATATTTTGGATGTTGGTGGTTATTCTGGCGATGCAGGTAAGCTTCTTTTGTCTTTAGAACCTTTATTTTTTTTTATCTTATCTTCAACCCATTCTTTTATTCATTTTTCTGTTTTGACTTTCCGTTTGATGAGAGGAGAAAATATCTGATGACGTAATATTTTAACATATTTTTGCAGATTTCAAGTCGACTGTTTATCTATACAACATGAAAGAAAGCCATTTAACACTTTCCCATCGTTCTTAAAATCTGACTAAATGATATGGGTTTTGACTAAAATTAATTTAAAGATCTAAGGCATTAACAGAATTAATGTTCAAATTTTCAAGTTTTAATGTTACCGGTGTTTTAAATGATTTCCCAAAACATACAGGTAAAAAAGGGAAGATGATACAAAGGCTTTTTGAAGACTAAAAGAGGATTGAGCACCCATAAACGTTTTAACCACATTCACTTATTAGAACTCCATGTTATCTTTTTCATGTATCATTTGCTTTTCAATTTATGATCATATATGGATTCGTAAAATTTCCTGCAAAACATTTGTAACGTGTACACCAGTTTTATGCTCGATCCGAAATATTCTATTTTCATATTAATCAAAACTTTAATTGTATTCATAAAATGGTATCAATAGCTAAAATATGTACAACTGCTCTTTCTTTGACAGTTAAATTCATTTATAAAAATCATTTCCCTGTCAATCTATATACACTGATACAAATTTGTTCAATTACTTTTTTGTCCTGTGTAAGGGACAAACTTGTCCTTATTGTAGAATTTGATACCCTACAAGCTATGCCTTGTATGATAAGGTACAATGTTTACTTGATAAGCTACAACACTTGTCAAAGTCTGAAAGAACTGGCTTCAACCTTGTCCTTCGATGAAATGCCATATTAGAGACTACAATCTCTCATAATCACGTGACCGACCGTGCAAGAATCTCATGGGTAGTCAAGGTCGTTAAAATCCCCCTCGTCATAATCACGTACCGTACGTATCGTGGTCATTGTCTTCGTAGACCTGCGACTAGTGACACTGAACTAGAATTCTTCTTAGCTCATATACGACCCTTATGGTCAAACCATTATTGTTACCTTACATTCCTTATAGCTCATTAGGTTTTCCCTGCGAACACCCCTTTACATTTGACCTGGCCTCAAATTTACCCATCAAATATCTTGTTCGTTTCTATGTTTTATCTAGGTATTATAACCGAAACATAAAATAAGGTTGCTTTCAACCCGTTTCTATTGTAAACTCTCAAAACTTTATATCAGTAAACATCACACAATCATGTGTATCAAAGTATTCAATTTTGGAAATTTGCTCATGGTATCTATTTAATAAATAATTTGCTATTTCATGAAGAAATAAAAAAATATATATGAATAAAATATCAAAACTTCTGTTTTCAAGAAAAAAATTGTGTCACAGCCAATGTAAAAAAAGAACGAATCTTTAAAAAGTAAATTTTCCGTAAATTGAAATTTTGACAATTAGAAGGGGTATCCAAAGCACAAGTAAACAAAACCAAATTGAAATAAAAGTGAATTTTATTGATGTTTTTACTTCTTCTCACAGTACGATTTATTTTTCCGTACCATACGTATCCAGCAACTTTCACCTCAAAACACTTTGGATATTTTGATAACTTTAAATTGCTAAACAAAGAATGGTCAAAATAAAATTGATAATCAACGTCTCTTCAACGGAAAACGCAATGATTAGTTTATTAATTGTAACAAATTATTTTTAGATCCGAAAACATAGTTACATAATTAACATTACCATCGTTGTTACGTATTTTGGATATGACTTGAGTTCAGAATGGACAGAAATTCTCGGCAAAAGATAGGGATAACGATAAATGGGGCAAGTCATGCGCAGTGGACTTCAAGGGAGGTTGGTGGTATAATGCATGTCACCACAGCAACCTGAATGGTCTCTATCTGAAAGGGAAACACAAATCATCTGCTACTGGAGTCAACTGGTACCACTGGAAGGGATATCACTACTCACTGAAAGAAACAGTCATGATGATCCGCAAAGCCTAGATAGTTGAACATAAATATTGGCCAATAAATAATGCATATTTTCATTTTCATTTTTTATTATTTTGATATTCAAATTATTATGCAGAGTGTACCAGTCTATCATTAGATTTCGGTTTTATAGTTTGTGTTGAAATATTATTAGTGTCATGGTTGGTTCCTTATTGCCTGAGTTTGATCTGATCACAGATTCAAACAGATTCCTTACAGTTCGAGTCGTCTTCATTATAATATTTTATTTTAAACAGTTTTTTTAATTGATATCAAACCCCATGGGTAAGATGAGTTCCTGGTCTGTTTTCTAGAGGATGCATGTGATATTACAATAAAAGATAATATATGAATGCAATTATGGATCAAAAAGTTGTATTTTCAGTATATCTTAATTATAGGTAATACTTTTTACCATACATCAATATGGTAATAGTTGTAGACTGCTAGTATATTACCTTTGCTGTTAGTTGAACCGTTAAACTAAATGACCATGTTGTCGTGAGAGGATCAAAGCGAGATACAAATAAACTATATCAAAATACATGTAGTTTAGACCAAAGGTGTGTATTAGGCACATTTGTTTTGCCATTTATGAACTCATTCTTGATGAATCGCATCTCTTAACTAGGTGAAAATAATATAATTTCAAGGCTTTCAATTACTTTTACCTAACAGCTAAAATTGAAGCAGATTGATACATGTTTGATAATCTGATCATCTAAGCCAACAGTTATTAATTTGACTTGACTGTTAGTGTTGCTATCCACCTATTGCAACTTACTCAAAATTCTGACCACATTGCAATTTGTTTTATAAAACCAAACTGTTCAACTGGTCAGAAATTTGAACAAACTGCTGTAGAAAATCGTCAAGAATCAGACATCGTTTGAATTAAAACATTTTATATTCAGTAAATAAAGGCAACAGTAGTATACCGCTGTTCGAAACTCATAAATCGAAAAAGATAAAAACAAATCCGGGTTACAAACTAAA